ATATGGCGAATTTAATAAAACAGGGGAAAACAAGGAACACTTGAATTTCTCAGGTTTTGGACATTCAGAGATGAATTATGAGGACCGTGAAAAGATCCTAAAGGAAAACCAAGCCAAGCCGCTGAAGCTGCTGGAGTTGCTGGAGCCTTTTTCTGCTCCCAGGGAAGCGGCTTTGGCGTCTGGCGCGGAACAGCTGCGGTGTCAAAGCCAACCCTGTTTACCTCATACATCCCTGCACTGTGTGTTAGCATTTTTCTCTGTTTTTTTATTTTTTATCTGTGACACATTCATCACACCCAGCTCCTTGTGTTGAATGAAACCCCTGAGCCAAGATCACTGATTTTATTTTCTGTTTTGTTGCTTTGGGAAGTATGTTTTTCCTTTTTTTTTTTTTTTTTTTTTTTTCTTTTTTTTAAAGAAATAGTGACACTCAAACTCCTATAGGGTTTGTTTTTCCTTTTTTTTTTTTTTTCTTTCTTTTCTTTTTTTTAAAGAAATAGTGACACTCAAACTCCTATAGGGTTTTTAAGAGGTTTTGGGGGTTTTGTTCTGTAAATATTCTATTTTATTCTTGGGGGGTGGAGCTTTAGGAAAAGGCTATCTATATATCTATATATCTATATATTTGTGCTCATTCAGGGACTAGAGGAAGCAAAGTAAAACAAAACAAAACAAAACACCCAACCCCAGTAATAACCTTTTTAATATTTTTTCTGTGACTGGTGTGGACTCCGTTGGGTGTTTTCCGGTGGCCTGATGGGTGGTCCAAGAGCCCGGGACCCTGGCACTTAGGCAACGGGTTTCTGATTTCCAGGCTGGGCACTGGGATCAGGCAATGCTTAGCCAGGGGTGGAATGAGTCCTGGCCAAAGGGTCCCAGGCTCCTGTCTCAGGGATGATTTCAGGGGACGATCAATACAGGGGGAACGGGGCCAGCCAGGCTTAGCTCAGGGTGAGGATTCAGGGTGGCCACGGCCAGCTCTCATCTTTCGCCTCCCTGCACAGGGCCTGTGAGAGGTCTTGGTTCTGTGGCGACAGTCACTAAAACAGAGGCCCAGAAAGGACCGTGGATCCCCCCAACTTGGGTCAGAAAACTGAGGGGGCATCCACGAGACGCGGCCCGGCTGGAGCCGAAACACAGCTTCTGCGCTCCTGGCGGGGTCTGCAGGACTTTCTGGGCCTCTCTGCCTCTGTCCCTGGGGCCCCAGCTGGCCTTGGGGGAGGGCGGGGACTGTGACAGCTGCGCCCAGGTGAGCCTGGGTTCTAATTGGGCCCCAGAGTCGGTGCTAATGAGGCTGGGAGTGGGGTACGCACTGGGGCTCCCCCAGGCCCCCGGTGGAGCTCTCCATCTCTGGGAAAGGGACCTTTTTCTTTCTTTGTGTCAGAGTCATTGCTGTGCGCCTTTCTGTCCTTCTAGAAGTGGGGGGTGTCTCTTGGCTTTTCCTTGTGGAAGGCTCTGCCTGCCCCATTTTGGGGGGCTGGTGTCTTAGCACAATCATTCCTGGGTAGGGGGGTGTCTTGTCCCAAGACTCAATCTTGCCCCCTCTCCAAGAACCATCTGGGCTCTGGACTGGGTCCAGCGTTGGCCAGCGACTCTTGTCCCTTCCTGGATGAGGACCTCTCGGGGCCACCTCGGGGAAATGTCCACTGTACATTTCTTTCTACCTCAGGTCTGACTTTTGATGCCAAAAATCCACGCCCTGGTCACCTCCCTGTCCCTCCTGCTCAGGCTGCAGGGTGTCCCCGGGCAGTGTGTATATGCGCTGGGGACCCAGCATCCCCCAGTGGCATGGGTGAGCACCCAGCCTCAATGATCCTAACTCAGGGGTGGCCTGGGGTGGCCCCAAGATTGTGGGATGTGGGGGTCCCTGGGACCTCTGTCCTGCCAGGCGGAACCTGTGGCCCTTGGACGTCCTGTCTCTGCCTCAGTTGCCTGTTCTCCCCGCACCTCACGTGTCCCAGACATCGCCTGCTGGTGGGGGTGGGAGGGACATCTTTGGGGGAACACAGGACCCCCTTATGCAAAGAGGGGTGGGGAAGAAGGGGGTGGCTGTGTTGGCTGCCAAGACCTGGCTGTGGGCACTGTGCATATGTGGCTCGGCGTGTGGCAGGTGGGGACCCCCCCAAAACTCAGGGTAATGAGGAGCTTCATGGGGACCCTTGCAAGGCTGCTTTCTGGAATCTTCTTTGGGACCCTTAGGCTGGCCACAGGGCTCTGGCTGTGAGGACAGGCAGGTGGGTGGGGGCGGGGCTTGGGGGCAGCTGGGTTAGTGTTTTTAAAAGTTGTGCATTTGTACAGTTGCATTTTTTTCTTTTTATCATTTTTACCCATTTCATTCTTGTTTTTATTTTTCAATAACTTTTGGCTTCTGCTTTTTTTTTTTTTTTTTTTTTTTTTAATTCCCCCTTGGCAAACACAAACTCAGGCTTTTCATTCTTGACATATGTGAAGTTGATTTCAGTTTCTCTGGGGCTTCTCACACGGCGTGATGATCACGCCAGACTCAGGTAAAAGAAAAACAAAAAAAATTTTTTTTAAATCCCAAAAAAACAGAAAAAAAAAAGGTAAAAACTGCTGTCTACCTCTGGCTGGGCCCCGCCGACACACCCTGGCTGCCGGCAGGGTGATTTACAACAATGTTCAGTTTTTGCAGATCGTTCAGGTATTAAAAAGAAAAAAAAAATAAAAATGATAAAAATACCAAAAAAAAGTGTGATTTTGAAATTTAAAAGAACACTGAAAGTTTACATTTTATAATAACGTTATTATGCAAATTGTATTTAAACTTCAGAAATATTTAAGACAACTGTAACCCAGAAAAGCTCATGAGATTAAAACAAAACACTTCTGACTTTAACAGAAAATGTCTCTGTTGTTTTTGTGTGTGTGTGTGTGTGTGTGTGTGTGTGTGTGCGTGTGTGAATGTGTGTGTTTGTGTGTGTGTGTTTTCAGGTGTTTGGTTTGGTTTGGTTTGGGGTTTTTTTTTTGTTTTTTTGAGACAGGGTCTCACTATGTAGTTTAGAGTGAACTGGAACTCACTATGTAGCCCAGGCTGGTCTCGAACTCCTGACGATCCTCCTGCCTCAGCCTCTCGTGTGCCACCATGCTCAGCTTCAGGTTTGTTTAGAGACAGGATCTTGCTGTGTAGTCCAGACTAGCCCTGAGCCTACTGTGTGGCCCAAACTAACCTGGAACTCTTAGCAATCCTCCTGCCTCAGCCTCCCAGGTGCTGGGATTACAGGGATTTGCCACTGCAGCTGGTTTCTTGTGCAGATTATTAACCTAGGCATCTCTACCTCACCCAGCATGGCGTGGGGAGGGTAGATCAGGCATCCCAGGGACACGGAGCCATGTCTGGTGATGTGAGGGGCTGTCACAACTAGGGGAGCTCCTGGCACAGGGTATGTGGAAGCCAGGGACACTGCTCAACACCCTGCAGTGTCCAGAACACCCCACAGAGGACACTCCAGCCCCAGTGTCCCTACTAACAACCCAGGTGGGCAGTGCCTGGCTCCCTAAGAAGTGTCCTGTCACCTCCAGTTATCTGTGTGGAGCCCCCAGCACAGTGGTGGGGCTATGCCCCTGGGCCTTTGCACATGCCAGAGTGGCCTCTCACCTTCCTCCAATTAAAAGAAGAAAAAAGACTCCCTTGTGTGTGACTGAGACACGTGCAGTCCCCACCTGCAGTTCACAGCCCAACGTCATTGTCCTCTGGGCAAAGAAGCATGTGACTCCCCCTCACCTTGGGAGACGCCCAGATGGAGCTGCTGTCACAACCACGCTCCCAAGGGGCCTCCCTCCATGGCTGCTGTCACCTGCCTCACACGGGCCAGGGACCGGCCTCTGTGCAGGGGTGGCTTTTTCCACTGTCACACTGTACCTTTCTTTCAACATGATGTGGCCCGAGGGAGGCCAGATGGGACCTGGGCCTGCTCTACTCCCCGTGCTGGTGAGTTCACCACCTCCAACTCCAAAAAGCAACTGTGGGGACCAGGCTGGGAGAGGTTTCTCTGGGGCTGACCTGTGATTTCCGCATTCAGAGTTCTGGACTGGACCAAGGGCACAGTGGCCTGGTGGATGGCCCAGACTGCAGTCACCTGGTCCGCACCAGCTCCAGCTGTGGCCAGCCTAGGCTGGTACCTCCCGGAGGCTGCACAGGAAGGAGAGGAAAACAGCCCCTGCTACTGTGGCTCACCTGTGACCCAAGAAAAAGAAGGTGACATTTTCTACTCCTGGCTTTCTGAGGTCCAGCTGTGGCCTCTGGACCCCCCCAGGGGACAAGGGCCAGTGACTTAAAAAAAGCCGAAAGTGGTGGTGCACATACCTGTCATCCCAGCACTCTGGGAGGCTGAGGCAGGAGGGTCAAACTTACAGTCCAGCCAGGGCAACTTAGCCACTTAGACCCTGTTTTAAAATCAAACATAAAAAGGCCTAGAGATGTAGTTCCATGTGAAGGCCTGGGTTCAATTCCTAGGACTGCAAAACAAAGCAAAACAAAACAACAAAAACTACAAAAAAGAAAAGGAAAAAACACCCAACTGGATGGTCCAGTCCTTCCTCAGCTGCCCAAGTGCCTCAGAGAAGGACCCCAGGGACCGTGAGGCCACACAGGCCCTGGAGACACAGAAAGGGGCCCTGCACCCTCCCTCCTGGCTTCCCAGAGCCCAGCTGCTGCTGGCAGGGGCTCCGGGGTGAAGCTGAAGCCGGGTGCGTAGAGTGGACTGTCCACTAGGGTCACCCGCTGGCCCCCCAGGAGCCCAATAATGGCTCGGTCCATGCACGGTCCTGTTTCTGTGCCTCGGTTTCCCTGTGTGCCCCCCACCCCCGTTCCCTTCCAGCCTCAGATCAGGGAACAGCTGCTTTCCCACCCCCACCACCGTACCACTGAGTCCCAGCTCTGGGTGGTCCGGTGCCCCCAAGGGTGGCCTTTGTCTGAGGCTCTTGCGGAACTGGTCTGTCCCCATTCCAGGAGGGGGACGGGGCGACCTCTGACCTCACAAGGAGGCCGGGCCCCAGGGAGGCGAAGAGGAAGGACCATATCCACCACTGGCACCGGCCTGGGCATCCAGTGTATCCTGCCCCCTTTGACTGCAGGGTCCCAGGGCACAGCCCGTCACCTCACACCGCCGGAACCCTGAAATTCAGAAAGGTCCGGGCCAGGCCAAACCAGCCGGCCTCGGGAAGCCATTACACACACTCCACGTAGAACTGGGGAAACTGAGGACTGCAACTGTGATCTGTTCCAAGGCTCTAAGGTGGCAAACAGCCTCAGCTGGTGGCGCACGCCTGTCATCCCAGTACTCCAGAGGCTGAGTCAGGAGGATCGCCACCGGGTTTGAGGCCAGCCTGGGCTACGTAGAGAGAAACTATGTTTTTTTAAATCAGTTCTAATATTTGAAAAATATAAGCGTAAAGGTAATGGGGGCGTACTGGGGCTTGAACCCAACACCAAATGCTCTAACACGGAACGGCTCCCCGCCTGCCCAATTTTCTCTTTATTTACTTTATAACATTCGAGGGTCTGGGCATGTAGCTGTGTTGAGCCCTTGCCTAGGTCTTGGGTTCCATCCTCAGCACCAGCAAAAATTAAAAATCGTGGGTACTGGGGTCCTGGGGTGGACTCTCTCCAGGGAAGTTCTGCCCGGCCAGCTCCCTGCTATGGACCTGCCTCAGGGCCTTTGCTCGGGGCTCCGCCCCACTCTCAGAGGCCCCTCCCCTCCTCCCCGCGCTCCCGCCCCCCCTCGGCGTGGTCCGCGGCTCGCGCCTGCCACCTAGCGGCCGCCGCTCGCTGCTTGCCGGTGTGGACCCGGCGCCCGGACACTTGTCCTCCCCACCTCTAGAGGCCATCGTCCCAGCCTCCCAACCGGCCCCGCCCGCATCTGTGTCCGGTTGCTGGCCCCACTGAGCTCCCAGCGGGCCTAGCACGGTGGCCCGCGGACCGTACCTTGTCACCCAGACTTGAGTGCGGGGCCCAGCACGGCGGAGACAGTTCTGACTTTCAGGTGAATTCTGCCTTTGGGGGTTTAATTTGGTTTTGTTTCCCGTGCTGGAACCCAGGCAGTCAAGTGCTCTACTACTGAGCTCCATCTCCCCACTCTTTGAAAATTTTGTTTGGCTTTTTGTGTTCTGAGTCAGGGCCTCACTGTATAGTTCAGGTTGGCTCAAAGTCACGACGATCCTCCCACCTCAGCTCAAATGCTGAGATCACAGTCGTGTGCCACCATGTCAGACCCCTCCTCCCTCAGCCTCCTGAGTAGCTGGGATGAAAGGTAGGCGCCATAGTGCCAGGTGTACGTTTATTAAAAAAAACAAAAAACAAAAAAACACTTTTGCTGCTGAGGGTGTTGCTCACTGCTTACATAGCATGTGCAAGGCCCTAGGTTTCATCCCCAGCACAAAGAAAAAAGGAGAAAAATTACTGTTTTTAGAAATGGCTCCTGTTACTGGCAGCTGAGCCTTGCTGGGCCAATACCAAGTGGCCCAAAAGACATCTGAATTTTTTTTTTTTTTTTTTTTTTTTTGAGACAGGGTCTCACTATGTAGTTGAGACTGACCTGGGACTCACTATGTAGCCCAGGCTGGTTTCGAACTCACAGCGATCGTCCTGACTCAGCCTCCCGAGTGCTGGGATTACAGGCGTGCGCCACCATGCCCGACCTGCCTGTCTTTTGACCTCGCTTTTTGGGGCCACAAAATTCAGATGCCGCCGGGCATGGTGGCGCACACCTGTAATCCCAGCACTCAGGAGGCTGAGTCAAGAGGATCGCTCTGAGTTCGAGACCAGCCTGGGCTAGTGAGTCCCAGGTCAGTCTCAACTACATAGTGAGACCCTGTCTCAAAAAAAAAAAAGACAGGCAGGCTGACATCAATAGGTAATCACCCTGCCCTGTGTGCCAAGTAGATAGATACAACGGGGTTTTTGTTTCCTTTTCTGTTACAGTACGGGGGCAAGCGCTTACCAGTCAGCTGTACCCCTAGCCCTGAATAATTTCTGGCGTGGAGTCTGCTCTTTTGCCTGGTCTCTTTTAAGCCTGTGAGGTCAGTACTTTATATGTACATATTTTAAAAAGAAACGAATCCACCGGAGAGGTTTGGTTACTTGCCGCAGGAGGGAATGGTCAAGTCAGACCTCAGATCATGGAGATACTAGCAGCTCGCGGGAGACCCCAGACCGTGAAACTGGGTACCGGCCAACACCTCTACCCATAAGAAGAGACCCTCCGCTCTCTGCTGCTCAGAGAAGTCCATTCCCTGGGTCAGAGCCCTCTCCCGAGGCCTCTACGCACGCGCGGGACCGCCTATCCCCGCCTCCGGGCGCCGCTCCAGTGAGCGTAATGGCGTCATCAGAGGCTCGCTGAAGGAGACGCACTTCCGGGGCGTGGCCAGATGGAAAGATGGCGGCGCCCATGGAGGTAGCTGTGTGTACGGATTCGACGGCGCAGCTGTGGACCTGCGTCGTGTGGGAACTGCATTCGGGTGCCAACTTGCTCACCTACCGCGGCGGCCAAGCTGGGCCTCGCGGCCTGGCGCTGCTCAATGGCGAGTACCTGCTGGCGGCGCAGCTGGGCAAGAACTACATCAGTGTCTGGGAGCTGCAGCGGAAGGTGCGGCGCGCGGGCCTGGGGCTCCGGTGGGGAGCACGGAGTGCTCGAAAGAAAGCGGGGGAAAGGGGGTTTTGGGGTGGGATCCCGACCGGGACGACCAGGGTCGTAGTAGGGAGTCTGCGCATGTGCAGGGTGGTGGGCTCTCTTTCTGGGGCATTCTGCGCACGCGTGGGGCAGGGGTAGCGCGTCTCGAGCGGCTGGGGCAGTTTAGAGCTGGGTGGACTCTTGAGCAAGTGCGCATGCACAGATTCCTGAGCGCAAAATTTGATTCAAGGGGAGAAATTAGGTCCTTTGGGGTTTGTGGTTTTGGAGCATGAAGGAGATCTGAGGTCTGAGGGAGCCCCTTGAATGGTAGCCCCCGGACCTCATGCATTCACTGATCCCCATCGTTGCCTCTCGTGTTGTTTTTATTGGCAGCTCTGTTATCTATTCCCTAGAACTGCTTAGTGCCTAGTCTGCCTGCCCTTCTCTCTCCAGTCAAGCGCTGTGTGTAGGCACTGACTGGGGAGTTCACACAAAACTCGTGATTTTTCCGGTGTTAGAGAGGAGGTAACAAGGCCTAAGAGCACGTTAGGAGAAGGGGTGTTAGAGTGCAATTCTTCTGGTCGTTGGGCTCTGCCCAGTGCCCTCCCTGGCCTCCAGGCCTCCTCTGTCCAGAAGAAGCACTGGCCTGTAAGACCACATGCGAAGTGAGCCGGCTGTGGTGGTACACTCCTATAATCGCACCCATCTGTTTGGCTGAGGCAGGAGGAACAAGAGCCCCAGCCAAGCCTGGGCAGCGTAGCCACTTAGCAAGACCATGTCTTAAAAAATGTGATGCAAGAGAGAAAAAGAAAGGTAAAATGGGTGAGTGGCTGAATCGCTCAATCCCTGCTACTGGAAACAATAAAACAAGAAAGCTCATGCAAGCGTGAACACTGCCTTGCTGAACAGTGCAGTTGCTCAGGCCAGCTGTGCCTAACTCTTCTCCTTTGTCAGCTCCCCAGGCATCTCCATCCCTCCCTGCCTCCCAGTCAAAGCTCACAGGCCTGTTCTGTGTCTTCTAGGACCAGCTCCAGCAAAAGATTATGTGCCCTGGGCCTGTCACCTGTGTGACCACGGCACCCAACGGCCTGTACGTCCTGGCGGGAATTGCAGAAAACATATACCTGTGGGAGGTAAGAGGAGCGGAGCCAGGATGTGCATCTCACCTGTGGGCCACTGGAAGCAACCGTAAGGACCAGATCCGAGGCCGGGGCGGGGCACACGGTGAGGGTGCAGGGTCTCACCCATCCTGCACCCTGCTGCTGTATCCTCTGCTTCCTTCCAGACTTGCAAGTCCCAACGAGGCCTCATTTTTTTAAAAAGCCCTAATTCTACCACCAGCTACAGACACACACTCTGCAGGACGAGGGTGAACAAGGCACTCCTTCCTAAGACCCAGAGGTTTTGGCTTTAACGCTCTAAGGAAGGGACAGCATAATATGTTTCATCTCCCCTCTTTCTCAGCACTGGGAAACCTGGTGCTAGAGCTACCTGCACACACAGCCCTGACATGCACACTTTTGGTCCTTTCTGCAAGGGGTCTGGGGCCACCTGTCAGACTGCAGCCAGACGAACTGGGACACGCTCCAGCCTTGCAGGTGGCACTGGACAATTTGCAAAATGAGTGGGTTTCACAGCAGTGTCAGTAAAGCTTTATTTACTGTCAGGCCTTGGCGGAGTTTGGCCTTCCACAGCCTGGTGTGGGCCGGGCTGTGTGTGGGCAGAAACTCGGTGCCTGTCACTGGGGGACCTCCTGTCCAGTGGTGGCAAGTGGGTGTTGCCGGCCCTGCTCCTGGAAGTTCTCAGAGGACTTCTGAGCTGTGACCAGGAGGGGACACCTGCAGCTCAGTCCCCTTTCTCTAGTCCAGTAAAGAGCCAGGTGAGGGGTATGGCAGAAGGGGCCCAGACTTTAGACAGACTGTGGGCCCAGTGGCCAGCCTGGGGCACTCTGAGCTCCTCAGATCTGTCCTTCATGCTCTGGGGACAAGGACCTCCTGGGAGGTGTGATGTAGCCCTGTCTGTCCCAGCTTCCAAATTTAACCTTGGTGATGATGCAAGCTCCCTGTGTTTCTGGCCTCTGCCAGTTCTCAGGGCTCAAGGCGAACCCTGGCTTTTGGCCGCTGCTTCATCATCCACAGCTTTATTCCCTTCTCCGTGTCCTCGAGAGGACACGGTCGCTGGATTCAGGATGTGCCCTGCTCCAGTCTGACCTCATCTTACCTGGGCTGCAATGCAAAGCGCCCTTTTCTCTTTCTGTCTGTGTGGCTGGAGAGCTGACCCAGAGCCTCAAGCACTAGGTGAGCGCTCCCCAGAGCCACACCCCAGCCCCACCTTTGTTTAGTCAGGTCACATTCGCAGGCCTGGGGTCAGGGCTGTGAACATGCTTTGGGGGATACGCGATTCACCCCGCAGCAGTGTCTCCCCCACCCGGGGCCCTCCCAGGCGTGGTGGGGAGGTTCATCTCGGCCACCAGCCACCTCCGCCCGTTCCCCCTCTACGCCATGTGCCTGCAGCTGTCACAGCCTACGACAGCATCCCTTCCCACTGTGACAGAATCCCAAGGAGGACACATGGGCAGCGCTGCTGTCCCTGAGGTCACTGCTAGTCCAGGGTGGCAGAAAATCTGTCCCCCTTCCCGGGCCCATCACATACTTGGGGACAAGCAGGATAACTGAGTCCAGGCCCACAGAAACTGCCCACCCTCACCTGCCATGATTGTCCCCAACCTGGGGCAAGGAGGTTCCCACAATGCCACACCCTGGCATCATGCAGCTGGGGAATCCCAGGGACCGCTCCCCAATTCCCCCACTGACCTGGCACCCCCACCCCTCCCAGGTCTCCACTGGAAACCTCCTGGTCATCCTGAGCCGCCACTACCAGGATGTCTCCTGCCTGAAGTTCACGGGCGACAGCAGCCACTTTGTCTCGGGGAGCAAGGACTGCCTGGTGCTGGCCTGGAGCCTCTGCAGGTGGCGCCCATCCTAGGTTCCCCCCGGGAGGGCTGGATCGGGCAGCAGGAGGGTGGTGACCACACTCCCGCCCCCGCAGCGTGCTGCAGGTGGACCCCTCCAGGATCCCGGCCCCCAGGCATGTGTGGTCCCACCACACGCTCCCTGTCACGGATGTGCACTGCGGCTTCGGGGGTCCTCTGGCCCGGGTGGCCACAGCCTCAGTGGACCAGACAGTGAAGGTACTGCCCCGCCCCCACCCCTGGGGACCAGCCGAGGTCAGTGGGGCTCAGACGCCTGGAATCCCAGGCTCCCAGCCCAAGGACATCCAGGCTGGAGGCAGCCCGGGCCTCTGCTGCCTGGAAATTCCCACTCAGCCAGCCGTGCCCGGCGTGGCCAGGCCCACAGGGACTCAACCTGCCCTGGGTTCCCCCGGCCTTCTGGCTCCCGGTGAGAGGGCCCAGGGCTGGCATCCAGGGTGGGCTGCCAACCTCCGACCCTTGACCCCTGCCCCCCGCCCCCCCAGCTGTGGGAGCTCTCCTCAGGCGAGCTGCTGCTCTCTGTCCTGTTTGATGTGGGCGTCATGGCTGTGACCATGGACCTGGCCGAGCACCACATGTTCTGCGGGGGCAGCGACGGCTCTGTCTTCCAGGTTGACCTCTGCACCCGGGTGAGTGGCTGGGTGGCCGTGGAGGGGTCGATGGCTCCCTGTCTCGGGCTGGGGCTGGGGCTGGGGCTGCGTCCCCCTTGCACTCACGCTCATCTCGGCCTCCACAGCCTGCGCAGAGGGAGCGGAGCTTCCAGCCCGAGCAGGACCCTGGCAAGGTCTTCAGAGGCCACAGGTGGGCACCAGGGCAGAGGCTGTGCATCCCTCTGCGCCCGACCAGAACCTGACACCTGTGTCCACCCGTCCCAGGAACCAGGTGACCTGCCTGTCGGTGTCCTCGGACGGCAGCGTGCTGCTCTCCGGCTCCCATGACGAGACCGTGCGCCTGTGGGACGTGCAGAGCAAGCAGTGCATCCGGACAGTGACCCTCAAAGGTGGGCCCGGTCACCCGGGGACCTTGTGGTAAGCAGGGCGCCGTGGGTCCGCAGGGCAGGCTGACGGCCGTGTCCCGCAGGCCCCGTGACCAATGCGGCCATCGTGCTGGCGCCTGTCAGCATGCTGAGCTCCGACTTCAGGCCCAGCCTGCCGCTGCCCCACTTCAACAAGCACCTGCTGGGGGCCGAGCACGGGGACGAGCCGCGCCGGGGCGGCCTCACACTGCGCCTGGGCCTCCACCAGCAGGTACGCACCCTGCCGCCCCGGGCACCCGTGACCTTCAGCCCAGCGCCCACCCTGGTCCCTCCACCACTGTTTCCTTCACCGTCTGTCTCCCTGCCCGGCGTTCCTAGGACACTTAGGGTTTCTCCTCATACAGCACTTTGTCCTGAGACGCAGACTGATTTTTTTGTCCGAAGGGTGCTGGCCGGCAGGCCCCACGTGGGGACAAGCCGTTATCTGTGTCCTCCGAGGCACTCACTGTCTTCCCAGGGGAGGGGACTGGGGGGCCTCTGCTCGTTTAGGTCAGGGCAGCAGGGTCCCTGCTGGTCCTGCCCAGTGTCCCCCACTGGCTCCTGCCCTTCCCTAGCTGCCCTCGGCCTGGCCATACCGGGCTGTGCACCTTCACCGCCCCGAGCAGAGCCCTCCACCCGGGACACCGGCCCAGATGTGCCCCACAGCAGACGCCTCACTCGGCCCCTGTCCTGACCTCCTGGGTGCAGCAGGCCCCACTCCACCGTGTGTTGGTCACACTTCCCGCTGGGCGGGGGCCCTCCACCCCCCAGTCTCAGTCTCCCCAGCTGTAGGTGGCCTGGCGAGGGCTCCTCCCTGATGTGACACAGGCCCAGGGTCCCTGTCCCTGCCTTCCAGGGCTCAGAGCCCAGCTACCTGGCGCGGCTGGAGCAGATGCAGGCTGTGATGTGCAGCACGCTGGAGAAGGTAGGCAGTTGGGGCGGCCTGGGGGTCCCAGCTGCTCTCGGGGTGGCAGTGTACGGCCCTCACCCTCTGATCTCCGCCCACCCCGCAGAGCAGCCAGGACCAGCTGCGGGTGCGGGTGAGCGAGCTGGAGGACGAGGTGCGGAACCTGCGCAAGATCAACCGCGACCTCTTCGACTTCTCCACGCACATCATCACCAGGCCGGCCAAGTGAGGGCACAGCCGCCTGGACCTGGGAGGAGCCCCCACCTGCCCAGCACAGCCCAGGAGAGCCTCTCCGGCCTGTGGGCTGGGGTCAGGGCTCCCCAGTTTTGCCAGTTCTGTGTTTTTAGACTTTATTTTCTATGTTTGGGCTCTTTTGGCCCAGCGGTATGTGTTCATCTGTCCACGTGGTGCTTTTCATTTTTTAACAAAAGATGGTCTAGAAAGGTCTCCTCTTGCCTGCCAGTGTTGGGGACCCCATCCAAAGTTGCCCTCACGGGACAGGTGCCAAGAATGTGGCTCTGGCCTCCCCACTGGCCAGAGGGGAGGGACCTGGGGGGTCCCCAATGACTTTCCAAGGGCCCCGGCCTGAGTTCAGACAAGGAGGGGCAGGGCCCGGCCCACAGAGGAGAGGGAACGGGGGACACTGGGAGCCAGGCCAGCAGGCCTCTGACCACCCTGGGGTGTGGCTGGTGCCCTGCAGCAGAGACTTCCCAGGGCCAGGTCCCCTCAATGATACTGGGGGGATGTCACCCAAAGGGCACCACGAGACAGGAGTGACAGCCTGGATCGGGGCTGCGGGCACTGGGGGTGTCCCCCAGACAAGGTCCCTGTGAAGGACACATGTGCCCTCTTGGCGGCACAGGCCTAAGGGAGGCTGGGTCCCTGATGTCCCAGGGACACTGCCAGCTAGAGCTGGAGCACAGCCCAGACACCCTCGGAACCTTCCAGGACACCTCCCCAGCCGCCAGCCCTGGTTAATGGCCCGGGAGCGCCATGTGATTTAGTGGTGCTGTCATCTCTGCAGCATGAACAGAGCCAGCCCTGAGTTCACATTTCTGGGCAGTGGCACCTCCATCTCTGCCTGTCCCCTCTCTAGGCTTTGTGTACCCCCTGGCCCCCGTGAGCCCTGGAGCCTGGTGCACAGTGGGGGTCTTGGTGGGGTCTTTCTGGCACACTGGGGTCTGCCCAAGGTGAGGGGCAGTACCCTCTCAGAGGCCTGCCTCAGTTTCCCCACCTGCGAGCTGAGCCTAGTCCTCATCTGAAGCTGTAAAATACAGGTTCCGTCAGGTGGGTTCCCTTAGCTGCCCAGGCACTGGCCCTGCTGCCTGGAGCGAGCGGTGATTCCCTGGGGTCCATGTCCTTCCTTGTCCCCCAAAGGTCCCCACAGCCAAAGGCACCAGCCGCCAGCCTGGGCCTGAAGTCCCTCTCAAAGCTCCCACCCCATGGTGGCTGCAGCAGGGCCGCCAGCCCAGCAGGATACCAGACACCAAGAGCACTTGGGGACAGTTGGCATTGACATGCAGACAGCTCCACAGCACACCCCCGCCCTGCCATGCTGGTCACTGCGCTGAGGTCAGCAGGAGAGTTCCCGCATCGGAAGCCAGCCGGAGGCCCTCAGGAATCCAGGGGCGGCCCAACAAGAAAGGACAGTTAGAAGCCAGAGTGGGGGGAGGGTTGCCCTGTGAGCTACACAGGGAGACCTTGGGTTTATCCTGTGTCGTAACTAGATGCTGGGTGAGAACCAGGGGACAATGAGTCAGTCCTGGAGACACCAGGGAGGGCAGCCAGGTGAAGGCAGTGTCCGGGATGGCCACTGTCCCCAGGACGCTGGTCCTCATGCCCCAAGGTGGCTGTTTTCTGAAAGGTGGAAAATTACAGGCATTGGTGAAGATATGGAAAAAGCAGAATCCTTCAGTACTGCTAGGGGGAACATGAAATGGGGCAACCAGTACCAACGGGGGTCCTGCAGTTCCCCAAACTAAACAGCTTGGCCCAGTGGGTCATACCTGTCACCCTAGCACTCTGGGAGGCTGAGGCCAGAGGATCACAATTTAGACCCTGGTTGGGCATCTTAGCCATTTAGCAAGAACTTTTTTCAGAATTTTTAATTAAAAAAAAAACAAAAACTGGGGACCAGGGATTTAGCTCAGTGGAACCACACCTGCCTTGTGAGAGCAAGGCCCTGGTACCAAAAATGGTAAAAATATAAAAACTTTACATCCCTTTCACACACTCACTCGTTCAGTCCTTACAACAGCTGGGGCTGGAAACTGCTGTTGCCCTTGCACTGGTGGGGAAACAGCCCAGAAAGTGAAAGGCTGGGATTGGGCCTCCCCAGAATACAAACGTTTGTTGACTGACCCATGAGCAGCTGGTGGTGTCTCTGACCCCAAACCGGTCCCTGTTTCTGAGGACTCCCGCTGACAGGGCCAGATGGGCCCTGAAGACCCTACGGGTGGATAAGCTGGCCTTTCTGTCCAACACCCTCTCAGGGACGTCATCCCAAAACCCAGTGTGTTTGCTGCTGGCACCCAGTGCTGCCCTGCAGTTAACAGATGGCTCCAAGAGGAGGTGGGGCTGCATATGGAGATCTTGCAAGGGCAGATTCTTTCACCAGGGCGGGGTGTCCCTGCCGTCTCTGCTCTTCCACCCCAGGGTCCCGGTGAGTGGACAGACATGGGGAGGCTGGGAGGACACGGGGAACTTGGGGGCTATGAGCCCCTCCCTCAGGCCATCAGCAGCTATACAGTGCCTTGTGTATGCAAATAAAAAATATTGGATAGAGCTGGGGATTTCTCAGTGGTTCTGCCACCTTCCTCACAAGGGCAAGGTCCTGAGTTTGATCCCCGGTACCAAAAACAAAGAAATGCCTGCCTCAGTTTCTCCAGGGTGCACACATTGTTAGTACACACTCATCATCGGTTGATCTGGATAGAGTCTGCTCCCTGAAAAAGGGAAACAAATGCAAGCTCAAGTGTCCCTGTTCGAGCAATGGGCAGCATTTCCCAGGCTGGGAAGCTGGGGAGGTTTGAGGGGTGGGTGTGAGGGCAGTTTTTATGGCCCAGACTTACCCTTTGTAGCAGGAATTTGGGTGCAGAGGCACACCTGTCATCCCAGCACTAGTAAGGCTGGGGCGGGAGGATTTCAATGAGTTCAAGACCACCCTGAAGTAGCAGCCAGACTCTGTCAAACACACACACACACGCAAATAAAATAACCCGAATTCCCGGCCCTGCCCCACGTGGCCATCGGCGTGGGTCCTGCTCTTTCCTGGCAGGTTGCTGGCACTGGGGACGCTCGGGCGGCGGGCGGGCGGAGCGCCGGACAGTGAGGGGTGTGCA